ATACTTAACTACTGAGCCTCCCAGGTGCCCCGAACTCCTATTATTCTAACAAGTCCGTTGCCTTTCTTAGTTCCCTTACATATATATATATATATATATATATATATATATATATATATATAATTGTGTTCAGTTAGCCGGCATATAGTAAACCATAAGTTTTTGTTTTAGTGTTCAACGATTTATTAGTTGCATATAACACCCAGTGCTCATCACAACACGTGCCCTCCTTAATACCCATCACCCAGTTACCCCATCCCCCTACCACTCTCCCTTCTGTAACCCTCAGTTTGGTTCCTGGAGTCCAGAGTCTCTCATGGTTTTTCTCCCTCTCTGATTTCTTCCCATTCAGTTTTCCCTCCTTCCCCCATGGTTCTTCACTCTATTCCATATGTTCCACATATGAGTGAAACCATATAATAATTGTGTTTCTCTGCTTGACTTATCTCTTAACATTATACCCTCCAGTTCCATCCATGTCAATGCAAATGGTGGATATTCATCCTCTCCAATGGCTGAGTAACATTGCATTATATATTCGGACCACATCTTCTTTATCCATTCATCTGTTGAAGGGCATCGTGGCTCCTTCCACAGTTTAGCTATTGTGGACATGGCTGCTATGAACATTGGGGTGCCTGTGCCCCTTCCTTTTACTGCATATGTATCTGGGGTAGCTCTATTTTTAACATCTTGAGAAAACTTCCTACTGTTTTCCAGAGTGTCTGTACAACATGTATTCCCACCAACAGTGTAGAAAGGTTCCTCTTTCTCCACACCTCACCAACACTTGTTTCCTTTCTTGTTAATTTTTGCCATTCTAACTGGTATAAGTTGGTATTTCATTGTGGTAAGGTGGTATTTCATTGTGGTTTTGATTTGTATTTCCCTGATGACTAATGATGTTGAACATATTTTCATGTGTCTGTTAGGCATTTGTAGGTGTTCTTTGGAGAAGTGTCTTCATGTCTTCTGCCCATTCTTGACTGGGTTATTTTGTTTTATTGGTGCTAAGTATGATAAGTTTTTTACAGATCTTGGATATCAGCCCTTTATCTGAAATATCATAAATTGATTAGTAATTATTAATGGTTAATCTGGTGAAAAAGTTTGCAAACCTCACTTAGACATCTGTAAATATTGATGGCTTTAGAATGCTATTGAGACTTGTAATTGAGTAAGAAAATATTTTAATAAAGAGAAGTTAATACACCATTTATGCAGTTATCTTAGAGTTTACTGAGCTTTTTTTATAATAACATATAATTGATTTATACTCTCAAGCCCCCTGTAAGTTCAAGGCACTTGGACTTGATCTTATGGGCAATGGGCAGCCAAAAGTGTTACACGTAGATGAGTGAAATTATTCTGTTTGCTTTTCAAGAAGGTAATGAAAAGCAATGTGACTAGTGAATGAGAGGAGAGACACTAGAGTAATCCTAGAAAAACATAAGGGGATTAAATTTAAGAAGTCATAATAATGATTTAGAGAGAGAGAGAGAGAGAGAGGAACCAAGAAACAGACTCTTAGCTGTAGAGAACAAACTGTTGGTTACCAGAGGGGAAGTGGATAGGAGATGCATGAAATAGGTGATGGGAATTAAGGAGTGCACTTATCATAATGAGCACTGGGTGATGTATGGAACTGTTGAATCACTATTTTGTACACCTGAAACTACTATAATATTGTATATTAACTAGCTGGAATTAAAGTAAAAACTAACTGAATATATAAATAAATAAACAAATAAAGCTAAGTAAAAACTAAATAAAAATAAATAAATAAATAAGTAGAGAAATTTAAAAAAAAGACATAATAATGCTATTTAAAAAAGGCTAGTTTGGTGAGACATCTCAGAGATAAAATACACAACTGATGGTGGCTATGGGAAATGGGGTGGGAGTTTGGGTAAAATTGAAGGGGAGTGGAAGATACAGGCTTCCAGCTATGAAATGAATAAGTCATGAGAATAAAAGTTACAGCATAAGGAATATAGTAAGTGATATTGTAAGAGTGATGATATAATGGGACAGATGGTAGCTACACTTGTATTGAACATAGAAAAATGTGTAAATTTGTCAAATCAAGTTGTACACATGAAACTAATGTAACAGTGTGTGTCAACAATGCTCAAATAAAACCAAAATAAATCCACATGTTTTACAAAACTAGTGGATATATGAAACAAGAAGAGAAAGAGTGAGGAGCAAAGGATGATTGGGGCTTCTGTCCTAGAGGTGAGAGAATACAATTATAGTTTCTATTTATATAGCACATCACAATTTACTAAGCACTTTCTGGGATATTTATATCTTATTTCATTTTAAAAATTGTAATCATTTTCTCACAGGTTTCAAGGTAGAAAATAATTGTTACCAATTGTATATGTCATATGTGTGTTTTCTTTTCTTTCTTTCTTTTTTTTTTCAGTATCGTAGCTATATTTCATTTCTGTCACTGTTGGCAAGCATTCCCCTAAGGTTTCTAAACACGTTAGTGGTCTTTTTCAAGAAGATATCTTATAAAGAACCACCTCATTGTTAGTTGTTCATTAATAGTCCTCTTACTGGCAACTTGGATGTATGCCCCTTAATTTTGCAAGTATTTTAAAATTAAAATTACTTCCAAAGCATTTCAAATACTCCTGGCAATAACGTCTGCTTGGAGGCAGAATTTTTAATTCTCCTCCCACAGGTCTTTCCTTTTATGATTCCATAGCCTTGTGGGTTTCCTTAATAGTCTGAAATTCCACAATATAATCCATGTGTGTTGAAAGACATCTGAAATCATTGACATGCCTCAGGGTCTCAGGATTAAGCAACTATCAGCTCTGTCCTCATGTATTTGGACTCAAAGAAGTAATCTCCCATTTAGGTCCAACTCAGAAATTCCTTCCTTCTCTTTCTCCTCCTCTAGCCCTCTATTTCCTTTTAGAGGAAACTCATTTGTGGTCCAGACACATTTCTTAAGGAATGCATTTTTATCCCCATGGAAGTCCCTTAGTTCGAACCTCAAGAGATGGACAATATCTCTTAGTGGACATGACAAAGAGGTAACCTTGGAAGTAGTGGTTGATTTTTATGAGACTCTAAGCAAGAGCTCAGCCACCTAGAGAAAGAAAAGCTCATCTCTGCTGTTTAGGTAATAAAAGTCCTTTAGTCCCATTTATGCTGGAAAGCTATGTGAGATATACTGAAAGATAAAGGCTAATCAGTGCTAGCACTAAATTCTCAAATGTCCTGGGATATTTGAACTGGATGGCCACAGACAGGATGTTGCCTAACTTCCTATTCAATTCAGGAATCCTTAACACTGTGTCCTTGAGATTCATTCAAGGTGCCATGAATACCTTCTGAAGAGGTGAGACCCTAGCTGGACAGCTCCAGTTGTTAAACATCTATAACTGTGGACAGCCATGTGCATTTTCTCAAGCTGCTCTAATGTTTTATACTCTTCCTGTTCACCTCCTGTGCTTTTGTGTTCTTGTCTTTCCAGTTCTCCAGTGCTAATTAATTCCTGTTTACAACTTGCAGTATTATACGGTAAGCTCTCCTAAAATGACTTGACTTTAGTTAGGAGCTTAAATCTCATTAAAATATGGTGACACTTGGCACTTGTTAACATCTAAGACTGCATCTCATCACTGTACTTTGAAATTCAGAGAAACTTCTGGTTTCAAATACCTTACTGCTCTCTTAAGGAATTGGATGTTGTTGATCTCAACATAAGATATGTACCTTTTTCCTCCCAGTTTTGGCTGTACTAATGAAGAGTTAAACAGTACGCATCAGGCCACACATAATGCTGAAGACCCAACTGGGAATATAGCCCAGGAAACTTGGCTCCCAGTCTGGTGTATTTCTAACCACATGACCATCATTTCTGATGACTGTAAATTCACATAGTACTCTTCCTGCTGAAATATGCAGGAGACAATCACATTGGTAAACTAGACAAGTTAGTGCATGTTAAGTAAGTTCTTAAACTGTATAGTGTGTATTCTCCAGGATTCCTGTTGCCACTGACTGAGAATGGTTCACATTTTACTAGTGATATCATGACACATGGCATTTTTGAGGGTCCTTTCATTGTTGATTGCCCTGACATTCGCATTCTTGGCTCTTGTTCTTGCTGGACATGGATTTTGCTCCAATGCCATCTTTCTGAGAAGGCACTTTTAACTGTTGGCAGCTGGCTGCTGCTGTTAAATTCTTCATGGCCTCTATGCTATGCCCTTCAGAATGCTTCTTGAGAGTCTGAACCCCTCTCTGCTTAGATTTCAACTATATGCTTTTAAACCTGAAACAGATGTTTTGGCTACTGTCATTTGTCATGAGCTTCTCTATTTGTATTGTATATAAGGCAGGTAAAAGGCAGGTAATTTGCTGCCTCCCTCTGTGGAGAAAGAAAAAAAATGGAGAGAGGGTGAAACAAAACAAAGGGAGAGAATAAATACATAAACTAGAAGAATAAAGCCACATGGAGACAGAAAGTATAACCACTTGAACATCTATTATCCTAATATCATATGCTATAGTTTGGCCACTACTGATCTGCCTGGCATCCCTCTTGAGTCATATTTGTGGCCACCCAGATTAATGATGTGAGCTGATCTCTTGATTTAATATCAGCTTGCTCTTTTCAGCTCCCATGTCATTTGTTGTCTTATAAAAAAACGTACTGCTTGTTACTCAGCCGTCTGTGTTTTCAAGAATTCAATCTTCTTCTTTTTTTTTCCCTCCTTTTTGTATGGGAACCAGGAACTAGAAAGCTTTAAATAAGGAAAATTAACCACTCACAGAAAAGGTGGAAGCCCAGAGAAAAGGGGTTTTTGTCTTTTATGGTTTGTACTTCGTAAGCTGTGGGTGTGACTCAATTTCCTCACCACCCACATAAAAAGGTTGCCACCCAATCACTGTTTTTTCTATCCAAACCCCTCCCCTTTGATTTTGGCTGAGAAAGACCCTAAGAAAGACTGCCCTTTCTGGAAGTTGCAGACTGTGACATATAAAAGCTGTTAGCTGCTCCTGCAGCCAGCAGCATTCAAACCTTGCAGAGTTTTGCTCTCTGAGAGCTTGTAATAAGACACACTCTTATAAGAGTTCATGCTACAACCTAGCAAAGAACTTTAAATTTTTGGAAGAACAATATATTCATTTTGGCATTCTGCAGAGGTAAGCTCTTTAGCTCAAGTTTATTTTGCATGCATTGATTTTATACTAGCTCACATTTTGGGTTTTTTTTTTGTTTTTGTTTTTTTTGTTTTTTTTTTAGAAATGAGATTGACTTTAATATAACTTTTTTTTGTTTGTTTGTATTCTATCCCTTGGTGTCCATATATGTCTGGGACACATTATCAGCACATTCTCTGTTGTTACCTGTGATGCATTTTTCCTTCTCACTCTCAAGATTAATTTCAATTCCTAAAGTTTTCCCTCTGAAAATATGCAGTAATGCATTACATGGTTCAGGCATTTGGGGCAAATGGCCCACATTCATTTTAGGGTTAGTAGTCATGTTGTTTATTTTTCTCTAGCTATAGGAAGTTTCTTTTAGGAATCTGCCTCATAACACCCAGGGAAATGTATAACAACTACTGTAGGTTGTTTCCTAGACTTGAGTTGAACAGTTTGAATTTTTCAGAGAAAATCAAATCAAGCGATGCTCCCAAATGATAACTTTATAAATTCATACTCACTGCCACCCCCCATTGTTTTTTCTTTTCTTATAGATACTAACTCTATCTTTCTCCTTTAAAGCAAAGTACACTTGGTGGCCTCTCCTCCTCCATCCCTCAAAATGATAGCAGTCTCTGCAGTCAGCAGTGCACTCCTCTTCTCCCTTCTCTGTGAAGCAAGTGCCGTGGTCTTACTCAATTCCACTGACTCATCCCCGCCAACCAATAATTTCACTGATATTGAAGCAGCACTAAAAGCACAACTAGATTCTGCGGATATCCCCAAAGCCAGGCGGAAGCGCTACATTTCGCAGAATGACATGATCGCCATTCTTGATTATCATAATCAAGTTCGGGGCAAGGTGTTCCCACCGGCAGCAAACATGGAATATATGGTAAGAGGAATTTGTTTTCTTTGAGTTCGGAGTGAGGACGCTGGATTTAAATTGTTCATTGAAGAACCTAAAGAGTGTTTATATATTAAGGGATATGGAGCTCTGCTATACATTTTAACTTAGGAAAGGTTCTTATATGCCTAGTAAGCTTAAATTTTGTTGCATCATAGAATTAAAGGGAGGGGAGGTTCTCATTTTGTTTTGTGAGTTCCGTAACCACTGATGAATCTGGTCTTATATAAGAAACAGAGATAAAGAATGGGGTGTGTTGACTGACCACATTTGAAAGACACACTTTTTAAAAAATATTCACATGGAAATATTTCTGTGTTCATGTATCTAATAGTCATATTTATCGGCTAAAACATTTCTTGAAAATACTTTTTTAAAATTATAGGTTTTGTGTACATCATTTATCTTTGGGTAGGTGTCTCTTCCCTTTCTGGGACAAAGCTCTTCCTGATGCTAATCTATTTGTGTTCTCAGAGAACATGCTGACTTTTTCCTCGTTGTGATTTAATGCTTTGTCGTTCAGATAACAGTGAAGCCAGCACACTTGCACGCTGTTCCAACTTGCCATGAACACATTCTTTGCTCTTTTAAAAATAGGCACTCTATGTTCAAATCACTCTACTTAGGAAGCAAAAAATAAAACCCTTGAGTTGGTACTGAAAGGATAGCTGTGCTTTTTTAAGTTGCTTTATTTTGTGTTTTGTGTTTATGTAAGCTTATGGTTTAGAGTCCAGTACCTTCTAAGAGCACAGCTTGATGCTCCTTTAAGGCAATGACGATCACCAGCCTGGTTTTTCTAAGTTGGGGTGAGGAGGTGGTACCACTAACAACTTTTTATAAGTGACCTAAAATTTGGTATTTCTCTCAGTTTCTCAATTCATCTCTTCTACTTAAATAAGCTTTTTAAATTTGACTAATGGCAGATGTCAGAGTTACAGGGAAAATAGACTTGCCAAATGTAAGAGAGTCATAGTTCATAGAAGTAGAATTTAGATTCTATGAAAATGCACTTTCCTAGTTTTCTGTAAAGAAATTGGAAGAGGAGATATAATCAGTCCTGGTTTAGGAATAGCATTATACCCTCATGGTTAAGAAATGGGCTTTGGAATCTAAATGCTTGGGTTCAAATCTCAGTCCTGAAATACAACCTGCATGAGTGTTTCATTTCATTTTCATCATCTTTTATATGAGGATAAACGTAGTACCTGCCATATAGGGTTGTAATCAGGAAAGTATGAGTTGAGGGATTGAGCAAGTAGATCAGAGCCTAACAAAATAGACCTCCAATAAACAGCACTTTCTAGAAGGTGATATATTGGTATAGAAAAAAGAACAAATAAGTTTTTTAGTTACCACAAATTAGGAGAGAAATACACATAAGATTCTGAATGAGATCAGAAAAGTATAATATATACACTGTGGGTTTAGGAAATAATTCCTGGTGCCAATCACAACACTATGCAGACAAAAGTAGGGTGAAGATAGCTGAAGTGTTTTAGAGGTGAGCTCTTCTGCATTCAAACCCTAACACTGCTGCTTACTTTGTGACTTTGGACAAGTTACTTAACGTGTGTGAGACTCCATTTCCTTATCTTTAAAATGGGAGTAATAATATAGATAATAACCAACCTACATATAATGCAATTCACTGTTTTAATGATATTGAAGGCAGAGGGATCATCATGAGTAAAGGTACAACACAGTATAAATGGTTGAAAAAGCCACATCCTTTCTGGTTATATTTTCCTCTACTGATCAAGTATTCATTCATTCCACATGCATTTATTTAATTTTTTTCTATGTGTCAATGACTTGGCTAATTGTTTCCATAGATGATCTCATTTGATAGCTCACATTCTCCCTATGATGCTGAGACTGTGATCTTCATTTTACAATTGAAATCATGTAGACCTAGAAAAGTTAATGAGTAGGCCAAGGTGGCATGGAGAGTGAATGGTATTAATGGAGTTAGAATTTAGATCTATGGAATTTCAAAGCCAATGCTTGTGTTGGAAAGCATCTTTCCATTGGCTAGGTTTATTAAATGCTCCACTGAGGGAAACCCATGGAGGTGTCAGGGTATCTTTGTTCCTCCTTTAAAATGCCAGCTGAAATCCTGTAGTATTCATATTCTATTCTATTCTTATTTCTCAATATAGGAGCTAAGATATGATTTATTTTGTAAGAACCAGATACAGTACTGCTTATGTCAGTAGATGTTTTATAAATCCTCCTTCAGTCAGTTAAGTTAATTAGAAGTAGTAATTGGAACAGTAAGTTCTATAAAATTAAATATAACTGTATCAAATTGTCATGTAAATACTGCATATAATTCATTTGCCCATGTACTTACTCATTTATTTTTTATTGAGCATTTACTGTATGTCAGGCACTATTCTAAACACTGGGTTACATTCATGAATAAAATAGACAGTCCTTGACTTCCTGGGTAGAAAACCAGACAATAAATAAGATAAATTTAAAAAGTACATAGTACATTAGAAGGTGATAAGGTTGTTAAGAAAAATAAAGCAGGTTGTGGTGAGATTGTGAAATTTAATAGGATGACCATGGAAGGCCTCACTAAGAGTATCCTGGAGAGAGGTGAGAGAGTCCACCACACTGATATATGAGGGAAGAACTTCCCAGGTGGAGGGAAGAGCAATGGAAAAGGCCCTGGGGAAGGACAAAACTGATTAGTTTGGCTAGAAAAATGTGTTCAATTTAATGAAATTGTAAGTTAGAAAGACTGTTTGAGTAAATGAAGTCATTGAAATAAGTCACATGGATCCTTCATGAAGACTCAGAGAAACATTGAGGGCACTACAATGTAAGAGGCTACTTGGAGGTTGGAGCAAATGACTAATCTCTAGGCCAGGTGAAAAATATAGATCTCAATTTACCACATACCTGTTCAGCATTGATTTGGACTGTGAGCAGTCTGAAAGTGAGCTCCATTCCTAACACTTACTATGTAATTAAACACAGGACCCTCAGCTCACCATACCCACTAGCCACGTGTTCAAGTCCTCATCGGTGTGTGATAGTAGCTGCAGGAACCTCCTTGAAGATGGTCTTCAGCTCGGGGCTTTTGTTAAACGTGCTGGCAAGATGGGGGTCCCTTTCATCCGCAACTTTTCTCTCTGAACCTTCTTTCCAGGCTGTCTCTCTTCATCTTTCTCTTCCTTAACTTATTCATGATTCACGACCCTGACCTTCAAGTTTTATCAGAATGCTATGTCCTTTATTGATTTTTTTTTACCCTCACGACCATATTCAATTTTTCCTTTTTTTTTTTTTTTTTTTTTTTTTTTTTTTTTTTAGCAGGGGAAGGGCAGAGGGAGAGAGAATCTTAAACAGACTCCACACTCCAAACAGGGAGCCCTATTGGAGGCTCAATCTCAGGACCCTGAGATCATGACCTGAGCCAAAATCAAGAGTCCGTCACTTAACTAACTGAGCCACACAGGCACCCCATCAATTTCTCATTCTTTTAACTGCTATAAATAACCATTCATGTCTGTTATTTTGCTCTTATCAATATCAAAATCTGTACTTATTTGTATAATTCTTGCAAGCTTTTTAGGTGCTAAATCTATTTTTATTCGCCTTTGTATCTCTATTTGTTTTGAGCGAGTTCTTGAGTATAGACAGTAATGAACATTTATTTGATGATTTAGTTGAATTCCCTATGAATTGTTATATGTTTACAAGTAGCATCAATTTTGATATATATTTTAATGGAAATTTTATTATCATATATAATGATATTTTATCACATTCACCTAAAGTTTAAAACAAAAAATTTTCCTAAATTCTAAAATAGTCCCTCAAAATTAAATGATTTTATCTCCTTTTAAGTACTTGGTTATGTCAGTGTACCCTTGACTAAATAAAGTAGAAGCAATTTAAACAGAGTGTTGACATTTATGTTACAGTTATATAATATTTCTTTGGATATTTTGTCCATGATTTTAGTAAAAAATACATATTTAAAATATCTAATTTTCTAAACACAGTATCTTTAAAAAAATAGTAATACAATAGATAGGGCTTAAGATATGCAAGTCAAATTTCTTTACTCTTGGCTTCTGTTCCACAGTTAGTTTATTGACAAATTTCCAGAGCTCCTTGGACACCAGCTGTTTTTCATTCTTCTAAGGGCAGCTTAAACCATGACTCTAAACCACAAACCACACTAGTTTCTTAGAATAAGAATTATCTCCCAAAGAATGAAATTGTAAGACTCACACATAGAGTAGAATTTGTAAGATATTCCTTGAATACAGGTCAATTGAATAAATTGATCTTAAAAATGTTGAGTTCCTTCCATAAGAGGATGAGATCCATCAATAACAGAGATCTTTGTCTTTAGAGTAATAAACAAAACCATGAAAAACAAAAAAAAAAGAGAAAGAAAACACTAAGCATATAATTCAGTATTATACTGAATTAATACACTGCTGTGTAAGATTGATGTAATCAGTGAGGTACAGATAAATATCATGGAGAAATCAAAGAAAGAAGTGATAATCTCTTATTGGCAAAATCAAGAAAGGTTCTTTGGAGGAAGGACATTTGAGATAGATGTCCAGGAAGGGGAAGGGTTGACTGATACGAGATAAAGCAATGCATGCACAAAATCACCAGGAGAGGAAGAGTATAATGTGTTAGCATATTTTTGAGGAGTCTGAGAAAATACTGAGAATCACTTCATACAAAAGTGATTAAGGAGACTATAGAAGTTTTAGAGTAGCATCAGAGCTGCATTTTGGAAAGATGGCCCTAGCAGTTGATGGAGTTCAAATTGTTAATGAAGTTGACTGGGGAAATGGCAATCACTGAGTTAATAGTGCCACTTCTCTAGGTAAGAAGGAGTCAGACACCTGCCCCTACACAACAATGGGTATGAACAGCTAACTGAAGCATGGTGTATAGAATCGCAGTCTTTGTAGTTGGTGTACAAAATGGAAAAAGAGGTGAAGGAC